CGCGGGCGCCCCGGCGGGCTGCCGCGGCGGCAGGTATAAAGGGGAGGCGGCGGGCGGTGCGCGGTACCGCGGGTCGGCGGCGCCTCCGGCATCCTCCTCCGCACCGCTCCGCTCCCCGCCGCCGGGAAGCACCGCCCCGCCGGCAAGCACCGCGCCGGCTCCCGGGGTCGGCTCCGGCCGCGACTCCCCGTGTGTCCGGGCCGGGACTCGCCCGAGTCCCGGTTCTCTCCGGGCGCGGAGCTTTGCGCGCCGCCGTAGTGCGTTCATTCATCTGCCCGTGTACGCGTGGGCAAGGAAGCGAGCCAAGGCGGGTGGGAGAAAGTTCGTCCTCGGTCTCCCTCCTCCTTTCCCACGCCAGGCATGCGGGGCGGCTCTCCCTGCGAAGCCCTCCCGCTGCCCGGCCGGGCGCCCTGCGGGGGGAGCGGGGCGTCCTCTGGGGGGTGCCCCCTCGTTCCGGGGGGCCGCACGGAGAACTGCGAGATAGCGAAAGCGAAGCTGATGTGGTAGTTAACGATGTGCTTTCTTGAGTCTAAGATACTGATGCTATGAGGGGGAAAAAAGGTGTGTCTCATAGCAGGTATCTTAAATTATACATCCTCTTTTTTTTTTTTACAGATTTTGTTTATTGACTAATTTTTAACTTATCCTTTTTCTGGTTTCAGAGTAGAAATATTTGTTGAAATTAAACTACTTAATTCTTATAGTGTAATCTGAACTGGGATAGTAGTGTGCTAACTGCCGAGGAGGAAGCAGTTTCAGGTAAAGTGCTAAGAGTGGCACTTCATTCTTAAAAATATTGAACACTAAACATTTTTTTTTCTTGTGACTCTTGTCCTATAACTATGCCTGTTCATGTTGAACACACTGAATATGACATTGTATGCAGCAGTTAATCAGAGGAATGTGTTTTCCACCAATTTGTGGGGAAAGTCTGCATTAAGTTGAATGCAGCTGGCTGTACAGAACTGCAGCTCTGAAAAGCTGCATTTTTATCTCCTGTAATAGTGTTAAGTTATCTTAAAATTCTGAGAAAACCAAAGCACAATAGCAATAATCAAAAGAAATGGAAAGGTAATATTAAAAAAGGAAAAAAAGCTGTTAGTATTTGTGCTACTTGTGGCTGGGAAAGGATGACCTCTTTAGTAGATCTTACAGGATTGAGAGGGTTGGAAAACAGCCATTTCTTGATGTACCTCTTTGTTGTAGAGAGGGAATCATGGTTATGCTGAAGATTTCATCTTTCCTTGCTGTTTATGCCTTGGTTGTGTGCCAGATGGATAGCTTCCAGGCAGCCCCAGTCAGGTAAGAAGCTGGTCCTGTTGCTGAGTGCTTTATCTGAATGGTATGAAAATACTTAGGAACCCTTAGAGATCTAGGAGGGAAACAGACTACAGTGAATGAGAAAGCTGGCTTCTTTTGATGCTCTTTTTGCTGCTGTGGCTTTTTAAATTATGTTTATGTAACACCTGATGCTGTGCATGAGGATGGTTTACATATTCACACCGGTGAAAGACCCTGTCAGTGACATGCAGTAATGCATGACAAACCCGTCTCCTGTGCGCAGCTCTCTGCAGCAGTCCGGGCTTTATTCATCCTGTTTTGCTTGCCTCTGCTTAGACCTGGCTTGGAGTCCGTAACAGATCGAGTGACGCTCAGTGATTACGAAGCTCGGAGGTTATTAAATGCGTTGGTGAAAGAGTTCATACAGATGACAGCAGAAGAGCTGGAGCAAGCCTCTGAGGGGAACAGGTAAGGACTGCAGTCCTGGGGCACGAGAAGGGCAGTGGGGGAGTGTTCTGTGTTTGATGCTTAGCAAAAGCCATCTGAGCAGACCCTCTGCAGGTCAAGATTTTTTCTTTTTTTCTTGGTCTTATGGCTACCTGTGATCACCTAACTGGTAAAGGATGATACTGCAGAGACATCCTAATGTTGGTATTGGGAGAATGGCTTCCACCTAGTTAACCTGCTTCTATCTGTCTTTTACAATTGAAAGTGGAGGGCGATTTGAGCTTGAATGAGTGGGTTGTGTTTAAAATATGGCAGCAAAAGGTACGTCTTCCTAGTGGGAGCGTTAGGGGCCATTCAGTCACTCTTGGATTCTCTGTCGTGAAAGTGCATGCTGTTGTAAGGCATGGAAAGTCCCCAGCAGAGGGGACGTGTTCCTCCGAATGCACGCAGCGCCACTCTCCCCCATAGACCAAAGGCATGCTAGAGCATTTGCATTATCCTAACAGGATTTGTATTGCAAAGCATGGTGGTGATGTGTGAGAGACTGAACAGCATGCTGAATACATGGAAAGTAACACTTCCTGACCCCTAACTACAAGCATCCGAAAGGCTAATGAACTTGCTTTTTCAATAAAGTTGAATGAATTGGAAAACAGTGTTTTCCTTCTGACTGCATTTGTATGAACCTTCCTTGCATGGAATGTGATGCGGAGGGGTTATTTTTTTTAATTTTTTTTAAGTTTCCTAACTGTAGATATTTATCTAGGGAGGAAATGCATGAACATGCATGTTTGAGATTACTCTTCCTTCGGGCATGTTTTTTTTTCCCTCCTGCAGCCTGGATAGACCTATTTCCAAACGCTGTGCCAGTCTGAGTACTTGTGTGCTGGGCAAACTGTCTCAAGAATTGCACAAATTGCAAACTTACCCTCGCACTGACGTCGGGGCTGGAACTCCTGGCAAGAAACGAAATGTGCTGAGTGACCTGGAACATGAACGCTATGCAAACTATGGGGACCCCCTAGGAAACAACTAGACATGCTTATTTCTCCCCTTCTCCCTTTTTTTAACCTGATGCATGTGGATCTAACTTTGATTGCTAACTTTGCTATGTTATTTTCATTCTGTTTTCGACAGAGAATGTTTGAGATGGACCTAATGTTAGGAAGACAGAGAACATAACATGCATACTAAGCTAGGGGAAAAAAAATAAATAAATAAAAATTAACAGCACTGCCTTGAGATTTCAGATGATTTTCTTAGATACTAATTAAAAAAATTCTAAACAAGGCTCTTCATTTCTGGCTGCTAAATGTACAAGTAGACTCTTCTTTTGTGCCTGCCCATGCACTTGTTCAATAAACCTATTTTTCTACAAGGATTAGATCTGCTTGGCTTAATAACTTGTTTTAGAACGTGAGATTTCTAGATATGGTTAGAAATATTTTACAAGTTGTCTTAATGTTCAAGGGAGGCAATGCCAGTAATTCTAGAAAAGTTGAAAGAGAACTTAGAAATTGAAGTTATATACTTATGTACGGATATAATCAGGCATGCATGCAATCCTGTTAGTAAGGATCCTGAGAAGCAAAGGAATTGGGAAAGGCTCGTACAGATTTGTTCAATCAAACTAGAGATGTAATCCTGTTTAAAACTGGGTACTGAACACTTCAGGTAAGAATTTTGTGTTCTTTTCCTTTTTCCTTCTTACTTTACCGTAGGTCTTTACCCAAGTTTTGAATATACTAGTGTATCTTTAAAATATTTGTATTAATTCAAGACAATATGATGTAGGTGAATTGTAATTTAAGAGGCAAAACCAGGTTTCTTTACAGTTCTTCTGTTGCAGCACTGCACCTATCTTGTAATCAGGGGCCTGTTCCAAAAAATTGGCATTGATGTTATGAACAGTACTCATTGTTAACATTAATGAACTGTCTTGTAATGCTTATCTGAGAAAAATCCCTCCTCCTGCAAAAAAAAGTCACTGCTTTAGTAGAAAATTGCTTCAAGCAGGGACTGTGTCAATGTGTATGCCTTGAAGCCCCCCTTTGCCTTGAAGCAAAATTGTTAGCTGTAGGCTGAACTCTGAGCACAGAACTGCTGCTGCTGCAGTCGGTGAAGTGCTGGATTAGACAGGGGTCTAACCCCAGGAAAGAGGGGTTTCCACATTCCCATTAGATGCATGGAAGCAGTATGTTTGTGTGGTTCAGCTCTGAAAGCAACTGGTCAGGTGCCGTGCAGGTACGGCCTTACCAGAGTCACTGACAAAGCTCCTGTAGTCATCAGTGATGCTAGGATTTCATGTGTTTTCTCGGTATTGGAGCGTAGGTGTTAAAGATTGGCGTCTGCTACTGTCCTTCAGCAGCACTACAAACAAAACACAGATCTAAGCTTTTGGAGGAAGTGGGGATTGATTAAATGCTCCAGACCTGGACCTCCTCAGCACCTCTCTGTTGGCCATAATGGCTTGCTGGAGGCAGGCAATGGCTCAGGTGGTGCTGAAAATCTGGCTTGGCTCAGTCTTCAGTCCAATTGCCTAAGAAAGGAAGGGCTCTGCCACCTTTTGTAACTGAGCCTGATGCTTAGAAAAACATAAAGATGCATCTTTTAGAACTTGTAAGCTGTGCATGCAAAAGATGCAAATGCCTGCTGCGCAGCAAGCCTGCTTTTTCTTCTATAGAAGAATCTTTCCTAGGCATAGCATCCCTTACTGACATTTCATTGTATGCAGGATAGACACTTTGGGAACTAACTCTTTATTTTCCTTTTGAAAAGCAGTGTAACAGCGCAGAAGAGGGCATGCAACACAGCAACCTGTGTGACCCATCGTCTGGCGGACTTCCTGAGCAGGTCAGGAGGAGTGGGCAAGAACAACTTTGTACCAACCAACGTGGGATCCAAGGCCTTCGGCAGGCGAAGAAGAAGCGTTCAAATATAAAAAGCTGAATGATAATGTGAATATGGTAAATACATTGCAAAAAACAGAATCTGCAATGCAGGCAACCTGTGGCATTATCAGAATTTTAGTTTTGCTGGATGAATAACAGACCTACAGTGATAATCTCTGGGAAAGCAGGGCAAGTAACAGTATAAACATGCTACTGTTTTGTATTTGTAACATCTTTTTTTTTTTTTTTTTTGACTGTGAAGAGCTCTTGTAGATGTTCTGCTTAGATAACTAGCTTCATAGTGCATTAACTAAATGCAACACTTGGGTTGGAATTAATTGCTTATTTTACCAATAACATTTCCTTATCAACATATCAGTAACTCTGGCTTGCTTTCTTTCTTTCAGATTGCCATGAAACTGAAAATTCAACTTTAATTTCTAAAGAAAGCAACTCTTCTCCATAAATCAAGACAGCCAAAAAGAAGATTAATTTTGCATCCTAATATTGAAAATGTTTTATTTAATACAAATGAAAACACTTCTGTTATGTATAGTAAAGAGAATCTAGTTATTAAAGTTAAATTATTGTATATTCTTTTTATATGCAACTCTATTTCAAATAAAATGTGACGGCATCTATTATTTATTTATCTTCCAGCTTATGTGATCCATGCTACTTATCCTGCCACTACTGCCAAAACTCGGGGATTATACTAAACTGCTGCCTGGCAAGGCATATGTGTATTATACGGTGTGCTGTGCCTTGATGTAAACCACTTAACTGACCTGATTGTACAGTATATTTAAAAAAAAAAAAAACAAAAACACAAACAAAAACACTTCAATATTGTATCACTTGTGAATTTACGCAAAATTAAAAAAAGTATTTTAGATACACTTGGATTGAGAAACTGATTTTTCATTTGAACACAGTTATGGAAACATTTGGCACTAAGTCAACATCATTGTAGATCAGATGGCCCATTGATCTGCTACAGCCTTATTAACTATAGCTACTACCATCTGAGTCAAAAGTTCAGAACAGAAAGAATAGCTGCTTTTTATATACATTCATAAAGTAGTAGCTCAAAAAAACCAAAAGAGACACCACTTAGTGAGGCTTCTGCTGGAAAAATAAAAAGCTACATTTAATAAAACCATAGAGACAAACTTCATCATGTGTGGTTTAAGACTAAATGTTTTTATACAGGATGTAGTTCAAATGAAATTGCCTGACATATTTTGGAGTTTTTTGTCTAAGGTCAAAAAAGTGAATTAGAAAGGAAGAGGAAAAGGAGCTATGGAAATGCACATTTCTTTTAAGCAATCCTGAGACACAGTCTATTTAGGGATTAGGGATAAATAATTAGAGTAAGTGGAGAAGAGGGTAGCTGGAAGCAATCCATGGACTTCTAAGTGGTGCTGCCAGCTTCCTCCTCAAAGCTGCTGCTGTTTCAGTTTAGTAGCTGAGTCAGATATATGTTTAGATTTGTTTGTGCTCCACAGCCGGACTCTAAAATCTGCTTCATCAGTTCAGATGAAGATCACCTCACTGTGCAAAATAGAGGTTAAGGCTCTCATGATATCTCTGTCTGTCTCTGCTGCAGGTGTAATAGCAAAAAGAGAAGCATGGTCAACCAGATGTAGACATAGCCAGTAAGGCCGTCCAGTGACAACGCTTCTATATCATGCTCATTCGTGGCTATGGTTTTACTCCTTGGGGAACATTTCAGCCCTGGTAAGTCAGTGTACAAAGCAGACCTTGTAGAAGATATAAACCAGTTTAGAGGGAAGAGTTCCAGTGCCTAAATGGGCAAGGGAGGGATGTTCAGTCTTGGCTTGCAAATCTGTTGCCCAGAGATAGTCTAGTGACTTTTTCCATTTTCCTTTGAAGTATCTGAGATTGGCTGCAACTGGGTGTACCCTACCTGCATGGTGAGCCACTGCCCCATGTTTGTATGAGGATCTGATTGGGTTAGACCCAACTGCCAGTTTTGGAACCGGGAAGCATTCCTTGCCGGGTTTCAGGTATTTTTCCCCATTTTCCTTTGCATAAAGTGGGGGGTCATCTGGCTACCTCACTAACACCTTTCCCTGTCACTGCGGAGCCTCTGGGCACAGGTGGCACGTTGTCTCTTTTGTTCCCTACTACAGCACCCAACAGCTTAATCTTCTCCAAGATAAAATGCCTAACCACAGTTGCTGGGATGAATGCATGTAATTTAATGATTCATATTCAATAAGAAGCAAGGCAGTGTTCATGGGCCCCTTCTGGCTTTAAAGTCTAAATGCTCAGGCAGTTCATTTTTTTCATATAGAACCATTCTCTGCTGAGACACAGACGAGGCTGCATCATGTAATTGTATGACAGCCGTAGTGTCCATCTCTTCTAAAAACTATTAGTCCTTCTTTTCAGTTTAACAAAGTTATGCATTTTTTCTGTCAATCAAAAGGATTTCCTTAGACTAATATTCTATGCCAGATCACAAACATAACATGTAAACAGGTTCTAGTAACCTTGGTGCTAAATTTTAATTGTCCTGGTTGGAGGAAGGTGGGATGAAACTTTTGATATGTTTTTTGTTTCGTTTGTTGCTCTTTTTTTCCTTAGGAAGAAATAGTTACTTTCATATCTCAAGATCTATTCCTGTTGTTTCTTCTGTCTCTTTTCTCATTAAGATCTCTATCGGGACAGCAATGCAATACACTCACCAAATAAATATGCCTGTAAAGGACAGAGGGCCATAGCACTATGAAAGCAAGGGTGAATAAGAAAAAAGGTGAGGACCCCTCTTCTGTGATGTGAAGAGATAGAAACCCTTCACCGCAAAACTGAGTTGCTCAGAGCTTTAGGAGAAGCAGATTATTACTGAAACAAGACAAAACTACAGGTGTAACCACTATTATTTTAATTTTTTAAATTTTAAGGCAGTGAACATGGTAGAATGAATTGCAGAGCCACTAGAAGCTTGTCAATTGCTTTGACTGACTGAACAAGTGGAAGAAATTGCTTCCATTTTTTCAAAGTGCCGTTCCTGATAATATTATCCAAACTTGTCAGCTCTCAAATAAATCCCAAACTTCTACCCCAAGAGAAAATCTATTTCGGAATTAGCAATTAGTAAGGGAAAGTATGGTTTCTAACATTCTTACCTTTTTGTTTTAATTACATTGCTATTCTAAGCATGCTGAAAGCTGGCAGAAAATATGATGTTGGTGCAGTATGTGTTAAGTGGCATCAAACTCAAGTTACTTAGTATTCAGTCAGCCAAGACAATACAGATCAGTCATGCACGAGTGTTTGTATTCTTGTTTATGAGGCAGTATCATCATGACTATAGTTTGGTTCAGATTGTTTTAGATGTTTGTCAGTGTGTGTTTTCATTAACAGTTAGGGTTTTTTTTTTTTATGCTGTGTGCAAAGGAAAGCTTTGGGAGTGCACTTTGCAAGTAAAGGCAAAAGGAGAAGAAATTCCTGAGAAAGAAATATCTGAGGATAATTTATTGTAGACTGTCTTCATGTCATTATAGAGTTTTGGGGCTTTAATTTTGCAGATTGTTTTCTATTTGTTAGGTTTTCTAGTACAAATATGGTCACAAGCACCTTGTGGGCCCAGGAAAGGTTATGAATTTTGCCCAGTCCTCTGCTCTGAGCTGATGGGAAGTAAAAAAGCACCATCTTGTGGCCAGTGAATAAGCACAGTGAGGGCATACAGGGATCCCTCTCAGATGAGGTATTTACCCACCTGCTCCTGCTTTTGTCTTGTCGGTGGGTGCAGCTTCCAGCTGGGCATGGGGTGGGTGAGCAGGGGTGGCCACTTGGGCTGATGCCATGAGGCAAACTCACCTGCTCGCCTGCTGGAGTGGGCTGCGGGGATGGGGACATGCAGGAGGGTGTTGTGGGCTCCCCGGGGTGTCACGGGCCCCCAGAGCCACCACACAGGGCTGTGGCACCACACGGGGTATCAGGCAGGCCTGGGCCAGCCGGTGTGGTACCAGGCGATGGATAACAGAGGAGCTAATACCAACATATGTCCCCACGGACTTTGCAGCTGCCAAAACAGAGATGCAGGAGCTGTTCAGCTGTGCACTTTTTACCAAAGGGCAGATGGCCTTCTGCTCCTAGAGCTGACTGAGTTTTTGGTTCAGGATCATGCACCAGGGCTTTGCTGCATGTATTGATAGAGCATCATTTTGAAATAACCCAAGTGGCCTTTTGCTGTGGCTCTCTCCAGATATTTAGATCCTTTTTTTTTTTTCCTTCTGTTAGTGGAATTTAATTCATCTTCCTGAAAGCTTCCATCATCCGCAGTGTGAGAAAGGAGCAGAGCTAATGCTATTGCTTCTGACACTGAACACTGCCAAAAGCAACTTATAGCAGGCAGTAGCAAATGTTGGTATTGGTTATCTAATCCAGGATTGTCATGTCTAATTAGCAGATTGAATGTCTCTACAAGATGAAGACTCTGAAACATGCTGGAGAATTTGGGTCTCTGTCTCTGCATTTTTCTAGTGTGAACTATCTCAGAACAGGTATACAGGCTGATCATGCTCACTGCTTCTGACAATCACATGTACGCTGCCCCAGCTGCTGGAAGGGGTCCACATAGCGCACACGTTTGCTGCTTCCTTACTGTTCTAAAAGGCACCACATCCTTCCCCTGTTCTGCACAGAATTGTCCTCTACTTTGGATGCTCCTTATGCCTTTTAAAGTTGTCCTCTTCTGCAGAAAATGTCCAAGGAGTATAGTACCTTTTTGTTGTCAGAAAGTAGATAATTCCCATTTCTAAATTATGCCAAACATTGCAATGCTTTCTCTAGGAGGTTTCCGATCCATCCCTGGAGTCATAAGAATTATTGCAACATTTTTCTTTCTGTTCTTGGCTTTATCACAATTCTTGTTTGCACCAATTACTCTTTCGGCTGGGGCTGAGGTGTGATCCCAGCTAACTGATCCCGCAAAAGCAAATGTTGCCTTTAAAAGTCTGAATGTGTACCTCTGGGCAGGCTTTTCCCTCCCCTAATGTGTGAGAAAATACTCATAGATCCCACTTGGTATTTCATTACACTCATGTTGGCTGTCCACAAAAGATGATTACACTCTTGCTGGTTTGGCTTTTCTATTTACTTCTGTTGTTGTGTCACATTTCTTCTTCTTTTCAATGGCTTTTCCTAATAGCATCTTGTCACATTAGCACATGAGGCAATTTGACATTGCATTAATCATCTGTTCAGTGTCCACGAACTGCAGCATATATCATATATGCAAGAAATCAATTTGATTTTCCAATTGCTCTCTGAGTCTACAAGCCAGTCTTCTCCGAGGAGACTATATGGCAAGGAGTATGGTCATCTGCAGGTGACAGACATGTGTGGTAGAGGCATAGGTACAGCGGTCTTGAGTAACCCCTACCAAGGTTGTCTTGAGTAACTGCTCTCAAGATTGCCAGCAAACATAAGTGCTTGAGATGCCAGCAGCTATACTATAGAAAGGAAATTGCCTTGGGGTGAAGCAAAGGAGAGGAAGCAATGAGGGCTTTAAACACTAACCAATTTGTGTAATTACGAAGTGCGGATGCAGTAAGCAGTGTTTGTGAGCTGCCTGCCAGACACCCCAGGCATTTCCCAGCAAGGCCACAGTTCACATTAGAGCACAGGAAGGTGGAGAGGACAGTCAGATTAACGTGTTCAGTGCGTTACCTTGTTTTTCTTAACATGGTGTTTTGTCTCCTTCAGCACTAGTCAAGTGTTGCTGGTGTTCTCTCATCTCAAAGTCCCCTCTGTCAGTCAGGTCGGAAAGGTTGGTTGTCTCCAGTGCTGGGGGCTGGCAGGCTGGTTTAGGGCAGGTTGCTCTAGGGCTGGCAGGTGCCACAGAGGCAGGCTGTGCCCCAGCCCC